GAGCCCAGCACATTAGCAACAGCTCTAAGGTGATCATGGAATCGTGATCCACTAATATAGCACTTGTGGGCGGATGGTGGCAGGGAGGGCATCCCCTTGAACACAAACTTGCTTCAGCACCACTGGCCGCAAGGAACAGCGTCACCACCCAAAACATGCCATGAGGCCATCAGGCATCTCACCGGACAAAAGCAAAGGGTCCCCCTCGGTTTGCAGATCAAACAGTTGCATGGCCTGTTGGTGCATGATCCTCGCAGAGGGCCGACCGCAAAACCTGCAAAATACTGCACATCGACCCACGTTGCATCGATAAGGACGATCCTTGCACAAAATCGGGCGCCCAAAAGAGTTGATTTCTACTAGTTTTTGAATGAGAGGGTCGGCGTGTCGCATTGACACCCGCAATTCTTGCAGAGGGTCGCGCGCAGAGTAAACCTGCGTTTCCCGTTGGTGCTTGCACATCGACACGCAGGATCAAAGGATGTCATTTTCGCGTGGGTCCGGTCCCACCGCGACGCCTGAAAAGACTGCTTGTAATTTCTCACATACGCGCAAACGAAGCTGTGGTGTAAGTTTGTGCTGCAAATTCTCCCACGCAACTGTGTAGAAAGCTACGGCACCACAACATTTCTCCACTGCACGCTACGCAAGTCAGCGCCTCCCCCCCCCAACCCCAACCCCACCCAAGCCCAAGATCCCCCCCCCAAACACCCACCCAAGCCCAGCCCCCCCCAAGCCCCAACCGGTCCCGAAGGTGTAGTAGACCTGATCCACGATGCCAGCAGCCTGGGGCTCAAAGTTCTCCGGAGTGGCTTTGGACCAGTCGTAGCTGGGGTCCAGGGAGCGATAGCTGTTGCACACCCAGATCACCTGAAGCAGCCGAGGCACCGATTTGCAAACCCCCCGTAACCTCCCAAATACCCAGAAGCGGTTTCGGCGAAGGCCGGGAAGAGAACCCAGGCCCAATGGGAGGTGATGAAAATGGGTACCCCCGTAAGCTCCAAATACCGATTCGGCCTTTTTCTAGTCGGTAGTTGTTGGAAAACCTAGTTTTTGAAGGTAAATACCGATTCCTTTCTTAGTAGAGGGTCGATACCCTAAAAAAAGTGGGTATTTGGAGTAGGGGGTGAAATGAATGAAGCTGAGCAAAGGCATGGCGCGTAAGCATCCGGAGAAGAAACATAAACGGCACATGCTCGAACAATGAACGGCGCCCGGAGAAGAAACACAAAAAAGGACAAACGTCTTCAAGGTAGGCAAGCGAGCTTCCCCTGTCTTAAACAGGCGGCAAACATCAAAGGAACAACCCTGCGTACGGTCCTGGAGGCCGAACTCAAGGGGGCGTTGGCTCTGGGGAGGAAAACGTTGCGGGATAGGCTCAAAAACTCACAGCCCAGATGTCCCACTCGGTTCCCCCCGAAATGGCCCCCCACTTCTCCTGTTGGTCTCCCTCCCCCTTTGACCCCAAACATACAAACACAAAAGCCACCCAAAGTCCTTCCACCTGCTCCTCCTTGGCTCTTCGCCCGAATATTTTTTCAGGAACCCCAGGTCCTTCCTGGCCTTCTCGGCGCCCCTCCCCAAGCGCCCGCCTTCTCGGCGCTCCGCTGCAGGAGCGGGATGACCCCCCCGTTGTCGGTCAGCCCCCCGTCCCCGAACTCGTAGGTGATGGCCTCCTGCGATGAAAATGGATTCGGAGCCCCATGGCTTCGGAAGGGCTCCCAAGTGATTTTCATCCGGTATTTCCCCCCGATTCGTCAGGCGGATTAGATGTTCCCCCATAACCTCCAAATACCCGCGCTTTTCATGGTATGTTTTTGAAAACCTGGGTTTCCATGGTAAATACCTCCTTTTTAGTAGACAGTCGACATCATACCCAAGAAAAAGAGGACCTTCTTGTGGAAAGCTGGGTTCCCATCAACTATTCACCTAGAACCCCAAAAAAAGAATGAGGGCCTCGTTAAACTGGGTTCCATGTTATACAGTTTGCTGAGGAAAAACCTGGAAAAAATGAAATTGGTTTTCATTGACGCTGTACCAAGATTTTTACAGACGAGATCGTATCAGCTTTGCCAAGGCTCTCCTCTCACAACATGTCGGGGGCACCTCGCAGGATGAAGCCAACACCCTCTTTGGATGGTGGGAAAAGGCCGCCAAAAGGTCTCGAGGCATTTGGGTCGCACGTATCCAAAAGCTAGGGGCGGCCTGGTTGGACGAAGGAGCCGAGAGAAGACTTCTGTGTGCCAGGATGAAGGTCGCAAACCCTCTTTTTTCAGTTCGTTTTTTTGCGGAAAAAACCGTTTCGGTGTTCCATGGGTAAATACCAATCCCTTTTTAGTAGAGGGTCGAGCTCATACCCCCCCCCCCCCCCACCGCCCAAAAAAAACATGCCGGGGATTCGGAGTAGGGGGTAAACTTTGACTTACTCAATGCGTGGGTGGAGGATTTTGCAGTCGAAAACGTACTCTTGAAAAGAAATCCTCGGACATCAACGAGAGAGCTGTCGGAGCTGTCTCGCTTGCTGATCAGATCTTAAACCATCTACGATGCATCTGTATGCATATGGTCCAGGGTTTTGACAACACTCTCTATGCGTGTGTATATACATATATATATATATGTCAGAAATGGTCCCTAAAAGAGGGAATTGTGATCTTCCAGGTACCCCCCCGCAGGTGCTATGTTAGTGGGAGGGAGGGTGTGTATATATATATATAACACTACATACATGAAGGGCCACATACTGCTTACAAACAGCAAGGATTTCAGATTTCAGGCACCCGATGCACCGAGCGACAGCGCCGTGCATAGTGCCTTTTGACAAGCGAAAGCCCTCACTCAACCAAGGGCTCCGCAAACTGCAGAGCCTGAGGTATACGCGCAGAAAGACATGGATGGGTTAAGAACTCGAACTGGCAGTTGAATACAGGTCCCCTACCAATTCGCTTCGGTGCCCCCAGCCTGCTTTTTGGGCAATTTTGCGCTCGTCACGGGCCAGTACTCGTCTCGGATATTGAACAACGTCCCGGTCTCACCTCAATGGACACATGTGTCCAGTGATTGGAGCTCTGAATTGCTCCATGATCAAGGCTGTTCGGTGCCTCACATGTGGCCCTGATGGTTTCAGATTCCCTCCCTTTGTTTTCTAAGGGTTGACGGTTTAGGGTTGGTCTCGTGTGGAGGGTGTTTAGGTAGGGTCCCTTGCGGCTTCGGGTTGTGTTTTGGGATTGTGTTTCAGATTGGTTTAGTATTGGCTTCAGGTTGGTTTAGGATGGGTTTGCAGATCCAGGTTCTTTCAGGGCTACAGTGAAGGTTGGGACACGGTTCACTCGTTGTTTCCCGTACGACATTGCCTTTACCAAGAGAAGCGTATCTCTTGAATTGGCCAAACATGCGATGTGCAAGCCACAAAAAAAGAAAGAAAGTGGATACAAGGGGAGGTTCAAAGTAGACAGAAGGATGTCTGCATTTGGACATCGGCGACCCATCGGGAACTCGGAACCCTCAGGAACAAGGCGCACAGATCCCATCAACTCAAGGGTCAGGAGATCGATATCCAAAGGAGGATCGCTAAAAGCAATCCGTGCTCCGTGAGTTGCCCCAACCACTTGAAAGACGATCTACATTCTTGGTTGTTTTCAATGGAAAAACTCTTGATTTCCCAAAAAGTTGCAGTCTACAGATCCAACCCAATGGCACTCAAGCATTTGCGTCCGAAATAGAGGAGCCCATTGTGGATGTAAATGTACAGACCGACGGAAACCAAGCAACTGGACTGTCGGCGCACTGGCGTTTTAACTGCACGGGTTCATTCACCTGAAACTGCAAATGCTAACGCGACCACAACGACTGGAACCACACAAAAAAGTCGTGCGAAGATCCCAAGCAAATCAGAGTGAACCATCAAGTGTTAGACATACTTGCAGCAAAATTGTGATGAAAAATATGCCCTCTGAAGACGCAGAGCTAAGACAGAAGGTTTCTTCTTCAATTACTATCGCTACTGCTTCTGCTCCGACTGCTACCACTACCACCCCTGCAGCCACGATTCACCACGTCCACTGGTACTCTCACGTCGACCTTCTTTCTTATCTCCACAGCCATTATTCTAGGCTGGAATTAGGACCCCAGCAAAATATATATATATATATCGTTTTTGCCTGGTGAGTGGAAAACAAAGGGGCCCCAAAAAAACAACAAAATCGAAAAAGGGGAGCGAATCCTGGGGAGACTGCTTATCTGCCTGTGGGTCAAAAATAGGTACCCACAATGGAACCCCGGTAAATGGAAAAGTCGACTAAAACCTGCGGTCCCCTCCTGTTTAATTTTGACCCACTCCCATTTCCTCTGGCACTGTTCATCTGCCGGCTGGCGGGTCTGTTCGAAGGCACCAGCCAAAGCCCAGCTGCTGATGCTGACCTCAGAGCGCTTCCCTTCGGATCCTGTGTGCTGCTTTGACCCCCAGCTCATGGCTCTGGAGGTCAAAAGGGTAACCCCCAAATGGACCCCTGGTAAATGGAAAGAAGTGACCATATCCTGGTGGTTTAATTTTGAGCCATACCCACATGGGTCAAAACCCCAGTTATCACCCGGTGAACCTCCGATTCAATCCAACCGCTAACATAGGAAGCCCAAAACGAGTGGTGAGTTCCCCTACCTCAAAATGGGATCCCATTGGTGTTGACCCACGGCCACATCATCAGACAAAGGTTCAGGCGCAACGAAATCGAAGCCATGCCTGGGGTGCCCGACTTTGAGATGAATCCGAAGGCCAATGACTACCCGGAGGCCGTGCCTATATACAACAAGCTCTTGGCAAAAGCGAGATTCATAGAAGACTATCTCCAAATCAGGTACTTTTGTTCAAGTGGGCGGCGTCTTGTTGAATTCTTACGAATTGGCCCAAGTGGTACTCTTAGGAAATATAGTTAAGGATAACTTGCCGTTAAGATTGGAAGGTTAGAAGCAGTTAAGGATTGGATGTTGATATAATGTAAGTTCCCGCGGTGGCAAGAAATACAACTTACCCAACATGGACCCAAAATATCGGAAACCAAAAGTCGATGGTAAATCCTGCGTTACGGGACTGACAAACTCAGCTCAAAGCAAGCTCATTGAACACAAATGAGTCACAAACAAAGCCTGAAAGGAGTGGCTACCCAAAACCCATTAAAACAATACCCACCTACAACAACCCTTGGCAAGGCACGACTAAAGATCAGGGGGAAAGGTTTGGTAAACATATGGGCATATTGGGCATATTTGTGCGTGTGCTTTGTTCAGTAAGAACCCCTTGCAGCTTGCAGGCGCCTCTGGGGGCAAAAAAAAGAAGAACGACGTGCCTTTAACAACGGCATATGCCGAAAAACGCCAAATGCCGACATGGCTATGAATTTTGTTTCCGGGCCCTTTGGACATCGTTTTGGGGATTGATGTCCACCACGATTTTCAGGGAGTAATCCAAAAAAAACATCGCCGCCATCGCAGCCGGGATTGTCCACCAGGATTCAGGGGGCAACCCGTAAGAGACAATGTGACAAAAACTCGCAAACAAGTTGGTTTTTGTTCGCCACCAGTTCAACCATTCAGGGGCTAACCCAATGTTCGCAAAAAGTGCTTTTCGCCGAGGCACCGCCTTGCAGAGGCTCAAGCTGGTCTTGGGCTTCCCCACCGCCACCTTCTCCCCGCCCTGCTGGGCCTTCCCCTCCGGCGCCGCGCCGCCGAAGGCGAAGGACTCCACCACACCTCCAGGCGAATATATATTTTGTACATTGCTTTATATATATATATATATGTGTATATATATGTATATATGTATATATATATGCTACCCCCCTTGAATACTCAGGTTTTGGCCAGAGCTGGGCTTTCTATACATATATATATATATGATAAATGTATATACATTGATTTGTATATGTATTTATGTGTTGTTGTTGTGTATTGATTTATTGATGTATTGATTTATTGATTGACTGATTGATGGATTCATTCATTCATTCATTCATTCATTCATTCATTCATTCATTCATCCATCCATCCATTCATTCATTCATTCATTCATTCATTCATTCATTCATTCATTCATTCATTCATTCATTCATTCATTCATTCATTCATTCATTCATTCATTCATTCATTCATTCATTCATTCATTCATTCATTCATTCATTCATTCATTCATTCATTCATTCATTCATTCATTCATTCATTCATTCATTCATTCATTCATTCATTCATTCATTCATTCATTCATTCATTCATTCATTCATTCATTCATTCATTCATTCATTCATTCATTCATTCATTCATTCATTTCATTCATTCATTCATTCATTCATTCATTCATTCATTCATTCATTCATTCATTCATTCATTCATTCATTCATTCATTCATTCATTCATTCATTCATTCATTCATTCATTCATTCATTCATTCATTCATTCATTCATTCATTCATTCATTCATTCATTCATTCATTCATTCATTCATTCATTCATTCATTCATTCATTCATTCATTCATTCATTCATTCATTCATTCATTCATTCATTCATTCATTCATTCATTCATTCATTCATTCATTCATTCATTCATTCATTCATTCATTCATTCATTCATTCATTCATTCATTCATTCATTCATTCATTCATTCATTCATTCATTCATTCATTCATTCATTCATTCATTCATTCATTCATTCATTCATTCATTCATTCATTCATTCATTCATTCATTCATTCATTCATTCATTCATTCATTCATTCATTCATTCATTCATTCATTCATTCATTCATTCATTCATTCATTCATTCATTCATTCATTCATTCATTCATTCATTCATTCATTCATTCATTCATTCATTCATTCATTCATTCATTCATTCATTCATTCATTCATTCATTCATTCATTCATTCATTCATTCATTCATTCATTCATTCATTCATTCATTCATTCATTCATTCATTCATTCATTCATTCATTCATTCATTCATTCATTCATTCATTCATTCATTCATTCATTCATTCATTCATTCATTCATTCATTCATTCATTCATTCATTCATTCATTCATTCATTCATTCATTCATTCATTCATTCATTCATTCATTCATTCATTCATTCATTCATTCATTCATTCATTCATTCATTCATTCATTCATTCATTCATTCATTCATTCATTCATTCATTCATTCATTCATTCATTCATTCATTCATTCATTCATTCATTCATTCATTCATTCATTCATTCATTCATTCATTCATTCATTCATTCATTCATTCATTCATTCATTGATTGATTGATTGATTGATTGATGTAATTATTTTTGTAGTTCTTGTCTTATTTATCTATTTGTTACATATACATATACATGGTACCCCCCCCCCCCCAGTACCCAGGTGTTGTTGCATCATGTATCAAAACCATTGGTATTTACAGTGTGTTTTGATTGAACTCATGCATTTTCTGCAAGGCCATTTTGTGGACAAAAAACAAAAAAAACAAAAAAAAACAATCCTAGCCCCCACCATGGCTGGGATTCTTTGTATATTTTTGGTTTTTTGGTTTTTTTGGTGTTTTGCTTTTGGGTGTTTTGGTTTTTGGTTTTTTGGTCCAGGGACATGTTGCGCAACAAATTCCAAATGTTGCGCAACGTTTGCGGAGCATGATGAGAGGATATGTGAACCTTTGTGAAAGAAGACATGTTCTGGGTGAGAGGATATGCGAATTTTCTGTAGAGAAGAGTTATTGAAAAAGACATGTTTTGTGTGAGATGATATGTGAGTCTTTGTGGAAGAGTCAGGGTTACAGTGATTCTTAAAAGTACAGCAAAAGACAGTAAATATCTTGTAAAACCACCATTTGTGTAGCACAAACTGTCCCAGCCATAGCCTGGTTTTATTCTACACAGGGTTCACTGTCCTTGGCAACTCTTTCACATATGCTGCCTTTGTTTCATTGAAAGAGGGCATGTAAAAAGACATGTGTTGGGTGAGAGGATGTGTGAGCTTTCTGTGGAAGAGTCTTTGAAACAAGGCATGGTTTGTGTGTCAAGATATGTGAATTATCTGTGAAAGAGCCTTTGAAAGAAGGCATGGTTTGTGTGGGAACATATGTGAATTGAATTTTGTGTGGAAGAGCCATTGAAAAAGGGCATGGGTTTGGTGGGACGATATGTGATTCCTTGTGAAAGAAGGCATGCACAAAGACATGTTTTGGGTGAGAGGATGAATGAATTGAATTTTCTGTAGAGAAGAGTTATTGAAAAGATATGCTTTGTGTGAGATGATATGTGAATATTCGGTGGAAGGGTAATTGAAAAAAGGCATGGGTTGTGTGGGAAGATATGTGAATTTTCTGTGGAAGAGCCTTTGAAAAAAGGCATGTTTTGGTGACAGGATATGTGAACCTTTGTGAAAGAAGACATGTTCTGGGTGAGAGGATATGTGAACTTTCTGTAGAAAAGAGTTATTGAAAAGACATGTTTTGTGTGAGAGATGATATGTGAGTCTTTGCAGAAGAGTCAGGGTTACAGTGGTTCTTAAAAGTACAGCAAAAGACAGTAAATATCATGTAAAACCACCATTTGTGTAGCACAAACTGTCCCAGCCATAGCCTGGTTTTATTCTACACAGGGTTCCCTTTCCTTGGCAACTCTTTCACATATGCTGACTTTGTTTCATTGAAAGAAGACATGTAAAAAGACATGTGTTGGGTGAGAGGATGAGTGAATTTTCTGTGGAAGAGTCTTTGAAAGAAGGCATGGTTTGTGTGGGAAGATATGTGAATTTTCTGTGGAAGAGCCTTTGAAAAAAGGCATGGTTTGTGTGGGAAGATATGTGAATTGAATTTTGTGTGGAAGAGCCATTGAAAAAGGGCATGGGTTTGGTGAGAGGATATGTGAACTCTTGTGATCGAAGGCATGTAAAAAGACATGTTTTGGGTGAGAGGATGAATGAATTGAATTTTCTGTAGAGAAGAGTTATTGAAAAGATATGCTTTGTGTGAGATGATATGTGAATATTCGGTGGAAGGGTCTTTGAAAGAAGGCATGGTTTGTGTGGGAAGATTTGTGAATTTTCTGTGGAAGAGCCTTTGAAAAATGGCATGTTTTTGTGAGAGGATATGTGAACCTTTGTGAAAGAAGACATGTTCTGGGTGAGAGGATATGTGAATTTTCTGTAGAGAAGAGTTATTGAAAAAGACATGTTTTGTGTGAGATGATATGTGAGTCTTTGTGGAAGAGTCAGGGTTACAGTGATTCATAAAAGTACAGCAAAAGACAGTAAATATCATGTAAAACCACCATTTGTGTAGCACAAACTGTCCCAGCCATAGCCTGGTTTTATTCTACACAGGGTTCACTGTCCTTGGCAACTCTTTCACATATGCTGCCCTTGTTTCATTGAAAGAGGACATGTAAAAAGACATGTGTTGGGTGAGAGGATGTGTGAATTTTCTGTGGAAGAGTCTTTGAAACAAGGCATGGTTTGTGTGTCAAGATATGTGAGTTATCTGTGGAAGAGCCTTTGAAAAAGGGCATGGTTTGTGTGGGAAGATATGTGAATTGAATTTTGTGTGGAAGAGCCATTGAAAAAGGGCATGGGTCACGTCCAAGGCGTCTTTCTTCAATGAGGCAAACCTCCTTCCTCTGGTCTCCCAGTGTGCAAATCTGAGCTGTTCTTCCTGCCTGCTTCCGCGGTCAAAGCACATCTGAACCAAGCCCAAACCTGGGTACCTGGGGGGGGGGGGGGGTTCGCATATATATATATATATACATATATATACACACATGTTTGTGAAGACTGTATCCAAATTTGCCCCGCGTTTCGAGCGCAGCTCGGCGCAACTTCGCGCGCAATGTCGCGCAACTCGGGCGCAAATCAGGCGAAACCGAACGCAATAACTGCCCCAAGTCTGGTCACTACGCTAGCGCCAAGTCGTTTGCCCCCAGAAACGTTTCGGGCCTTGTTTTTTTGCCAAAAAGAACTCGAGCACAAATCATCTGCATCAATTGGTCCTCCAGGTACGCTACTTGCCCGGTGTCAAAACCGACAAGAACCCAAATGAGGTTGAAGCTTGGGTCAGTCATCTCCCGCGCCTCCGCCCACCGTGCGCGTAATGGCTTTGCAAGCGTATACCTCAGGCCGCGAGAGGGCGGTTTCAACGGTGATTTTTATTTGGGGACATGCGGAATTCCGCTTCCTAAAAGTTGCTGTCGCAATAGTCCGTAGGCCAAACTGGTCGACAGCCCCAGCATCACCAGTGGCTTTCATAAGGAAAACGTCATCCCAAGACTCAAGCATTTCAACAACCTGGAAACGTGTGCGTCTTTGCTATAGCGCGCAAATAAACTTGAGCCGGCCACCAAACCCGTATGTGCCAAACTGGAGCGTCTCTGTTTGAAAACGCGCTGTTGTGTTTCATGGTTTTAGACATGTAGTCTTGTCAGCTATGTAATATTTTCGTAGTCTTTTCCCACCATGTAGTCTTGTAGTCATATAATCTTCTGTTTGATGGTTTTAGTACTCTTTTAACAAACGCGCTGTTGTGTTTCAGTTTTTTAGTCATGTCATCTTGCAGTCGTTTCCCGTTGTCCCGCAATCTTCCCTCAGTCTTCCCGTAGTCTCGTCTCGTCTCATCTTTGGCTTCGTCTCGTCTTCGCTTCCAGACCTCGCGCACCAGGGGCCGCCAAATCTACAAGGATCCTTCGATCGAAAGACTCGCCTTCGTGGTTGGGCGGTCTTTACCCAAGTTCCCACTCCGGGACTTGCACGACCCCCTTGACTTGCTCAGTTCGGGATGACCTCAAAGTCTTGCTCGGGGGAAGCAAGGGTCCCCATAAAAGGAGGCCACCAGAAATTCCAAAAACGCCTCAAAAAAAACCACGAGAAATTCCTTGAAAAACAACCAGAAATTCCAGAAGACCCTTTGAGGAAACCACCAGAAATTTCCTGAAAGGAAACCACCAGAAATTTGTTTTGTTTTTTCTCGGGGTCATTCCAACTCATTCCAACTGCGAACCGCGGAGCCATTCCATCTGCTGGCAAGCCACCGCCTCTGGCGTGCATGGGCAAAGCGGCGCGTAGGGATACTTCACACGCGAGTCATCTGGATAAAACCTGGGATCTTGTTCGCGAAAAAGCCCCCCAAACGATGGGGGAGGTTCACATAAAACAAGAGTATCCTCCATTAAAACAAACAGAATGATGGGGGGTTCCTTGTGGTTTCCCTGTAGAAGCACATAAAACTGCAGTATCCTCCACAAAAGACAGACTGATCTATGCACAAAAGGTCGTGAAGCCGCTTACTGATCCGTGAACAAATGGAAGCCATGTTCGACAAAGATGCAAAAACACAAATGTTTGGAAGAGACGCAGGCATCCAGAGTAGTCTGGACTCATCTGCATGCACACGGCATTCTTATTGGTGGCCTCATATTTCAACGGCGCCAGCAGAGTGCCGTTGATGATATACTGCTTGGGGCGCTGTGCCTCGATGGGCGTCACGAAGCTCTTCTTCTCCAGCTGGGGGTTCCACTCCTTGATGCGCGCCACCTGCTCCTCGTTCAAGGCCATGTAGGCGTCTAAATTGCCCAACTGGCTGAAGTTTTGGTACAGCCAGCGCGAGATGAAGTGGGGCCAGAGTTGATACAGGTCACCTGGAAGCATACCCCTGTAACCTCCAAATACCCGGCCTCTTTTTTTGGGGGTATGATTTGTCGACCCTCTACTGAAAAAGGAGGTCTTTACCGTGGAAAACCAGGTTTTCAATAAATACCCTGGAAGAAGGCCGGGAATTTGGAAGTGAACCGGGGGTATCAAACCCTCGGGTTTCGACGCCAAAAAAAAAAACGGGGGTCAAAGGGGGGAGTTCTCTGCTTTTCTTCTGGGATCAAGTTTTTCAGGGCGGGAGGATGCAGAAAGGCAGATCTGGCCCTTGAAAAACTACCCCGTAACCACCCAATACCCGGCCTTTTTTTAGGGTATGATTTGTCGACCCTCTACTAAAAAAGGGATTGATATTTACCATGGAAACCCGGCACCAACATAACCTTCGACTTCTTTGACTCGGACCGAGTTAAAGCCGTCCACCTCTTCGAATCTTGACCAATTCGATGTCCGCTCTCAATCTCCATCAGGTGAATTGAAGAACACCCCTCTAGGAAAGGAAGCGCCTCCAGTTTACCCCGACGAGTTGGGTTACAACTTGCACCCCTTAGTGGAAAGAAAGCCGAAGCTCCATAGGTGGCCTTTTGGAAAAATCGATGGCCCTGGTTTGGATGGAACAAACCCCATCTAAACCACGGCCCCTATTCTTTTAAGCCTAAGCCAACCAAAGAGGACACCTCTGCCCGAAGCTCCCCATTTGGCTATGGGTCAAAAATAGGTACCCAAGATGGGAGCCTGGCAAGTGGACTGGGCCAAAACCTGCGGTCCATATCCTGGTTTCATGTTGATCCATGCCCATTTGCCTTTGATCTCGTCCGCGATTGTCGCCAACAGCTGGGTGGAGTTGTTGTTGACGATGCCGGAGGCCAGGGGAGCCACCGCCCCACTCAGCACGCTCATCGTCAGCTCCGCCGGGCGGTACACCTCGCCCAGGAGCGTCTCCGTGTCGATGGGCGCGTTCTGATACTCTCCTGAGAAACACAACATCATTCTTTGGGCATTGGTCAAAATTAGTCACCACCAGGAGATGGCCTGCTTGGTTTCTGTCCATGTTTCCACTTGCCAAGTTTCCAGTTTGCGTAGCGTTTGAGTAATGTTGACCACAGTTTATGTCTGTGCCAAAGAGTTGTTGATCAGCTTCCCTCTGTTGGTGGTTTGGAGCCGAATCGGTGGCTTGGTGGTCAAGGGGGGCTTTCCCATTTACCCTCTACAAGAACCAGGGGTTGAAATCCCGAAGCCACCAATCCAAGCCACCAATTCAGGGTTGTCTGAGTTTAGCGGTCCAACAAAAGCCGAAGAAGAAAGACAACCTGACACTCTGGAGATGACAGAACTCTAAGAAGAAGAGATATGACAGAGGTAACGAGGTGGAATAGAGAACCTGTTTATCTCTCATAGTCCTTTCTGTAAAGACTGATATCCGCCGACATTGTGGAGGCGTGTCGGTAAGAGAGGAAAGAGGATAACCCCCCGCCCCCCGCCCGGTTTTGGGGGGGGTGGGGGTGTCAAGCATGTACCGCGCGGTAATTTGATGACGTTCCACTAAACGTAGTCTTCGAAAAGCCGGTGTCACAAAACAGTGGTCCCAGGCTCGAACCCCCCTGCCGGCTCTTTGCGGGTTCAGGTTTCCTGCCTCCTTTTGCAGAAAATCTGGAAAAACTCTGTCTTTTTGGACGTCCTCTTTGCGAAAACGCTGGAAAAACCGTGTTTTTGTTGCTGGAAATACTGGGGAGCAAAGGGGAAATGCAAGAAAGTGCAAGGAAATGAGGGGAAATAGGAAGTCGAAATGACAGGAAAGCAAGGGGAAATGAAAGAGAAACAAAGGGGAACTGAAAGGGACATGAAAGGGACAGACATGAAAACACGGGGAGTGCAGGGGGAATGAAAGTGAAACAAAGGACAAGGAAACCAATCGGCACGACGGGAGATGTAGGAAATGACTCGCAACGAAAGAACGGGACATACATGGAAAATGAAGCGACATACCGAGAAAATGACAAGTTGAAAGGAATGGAAGGGACATGACCAGGACATCATGGGAAACGTGAAAAGGACATGAAGCGGAAATCAAGGGGAAAGCCAGTCGTAAGCAGACAGTTCAGGGTCATGAAGGGGCAGTGCCCGGACATCGAGGCAACTCAGGGGGGACGTGACGCTGCAATGCAGAGAGAGAGAGAGACAGGAGACAGCGGGAGAGAGAGAGAGAGAGAGAGAGAGAGTGAGAGAGAGAGAGGGAGAGAGAGAGAGAGAGAGAGAGAGACACAGAGAGCGAGAAAGAGAGAGAGAGAGAGAGAGAGACAGAGACTGAGCCAGAGTCAGAGAAAGAGACAGAGAAAGAGACTAGGTCCTCCAGTAGACAGGTTAGAATAAGGGTACCCTTTTTTCTGTAGAGGGGCGTGGACAGGAGAGACAGGGAGACAGAAAGAGACAGAGAAACGGAGAAAGAGGAGAGAGAGAGAGAGAGAGAGAGAAAGAGACAGAGAGAGAGAGAGAGAGAAAGAAGGAGAGAGAGAGAGAGAGAGAGAGAGAGAGAGAGAGAAAGAGAGAGAGAGAGAGAGAAGGAGAGAGAGCGAGACAGAGAGAGAGAGAGAGAGAGAGAGATTGAGCTGAGAGGCTTGGGGGGATGGGGAGGATGGGGAGCAGAGGGAGGGAGAGAGGACGACAGAACACACGGGGGAGGGGACAAGAGAGAGAGGAAGAAGGAGAAAAGGGTGAGGACAATGTCGGCGGACTGAGCCGGAGGCTCTAAAGTTGTTTATCTTCTCTTTTTTATCAATATTACTTTATTTTATATCTTTATGAGTCTATGAGTTTTCTTTTCTTTTCTTATCTTTCATTCTTAATTTTAGTTTTTGGCTTTCCTGCCTCTCTATTTCCCATGGACACACTATAAGATAAGAACCGTCTCTCCGGCATTAGTTGGGAAAAGATGCCGGGAGAGAGAGATGAATGGGAGAGATATGGAAATGATGGATGAAGATTGGTTGGGTCGCTATTCACTCCACTTCCCTACCTCGATTCCCACGTCGAGCCCGCCAAAGCAGTCCGGGGGGGCCCCTGGAACTGAGCGTCTGTCGTGGAAGAGCGCACTCCCCCCATCCGCCCGCCACGCAACCCAAATATCTAGGGCTACCTTCCATTTTCATTCTTTCCAAGGCTCCCTCTTTTTAGAAACCATCAAAAACCCAGGGGAAAAAGCCGGTTTTTGAAAAGAACGATGGTTACAGAATGGGGAATCAACTGCTAGAAAATAGATAGAGATCCCTCTGAACTTTGGAAACCTGAGTAATAAATCCACACGGCTCATGCTTCGGGGCGTGTCACCCCAGCGACTCACAGGGGTGTGTTCATCTGGTTCCCATCACGCTTAGGAAGGGGTCTCATTCGTGGTGTTCTTTTTAAGGGCAGCTACCCAACAGCAAAAAAAACACGAGAACATCCTCAGAACGCGACCGCTACTCCTAACTTCTAAAAACCAGCGATTCCAGGGCCCCCGAGTCGATTTATTTGCCCCGTTCCTGTACATGCTCTTCTGTTTCCGCCTCTCTCTTCTTTTCGAGGAGCTCTTCCCAACGACTAACCAACAAAAACACGACAGAGAAACATTGATCGGTCTCCCTCCCTCTCTCTTTCTTTTTCTTGCAACCCCCCCAAACAAAAACAACAAAACAGAGAAACATTTCGGCCTTGGCGCCTCTCTCATCTCTCCCCGCTAAAAAAAAAACATGGGCATCACTGGCCAAAAGAAAAGAAGGCAAATCCAGGCTCTGGCGAACATGGGAAGCACCAGCCAAGCAAGGGCAAAATGCGGGCTCACGTGAGCCCATGGATACGTCAAAATCCCGTACCCCCAATGAACATCCCAATCCAACCACTAAAATCCCGACTAAAATGGGTGGTGCATTCACCTGCCAAAATGGGACCCCAAAACGGTTTTGGCAACCACAGCCATATGGCCCCAGGCTCCGACCCCTGGGAAGCACCTCGACCAAAAAAAAGGAGAAGAGAAAAGAGAAGAAGAAAAAAGAACAGAAAGCCCTCCGCCCGCTTGAGATGGCCCGCTTGAGATGAAAAAAGGCCCCAGGCGCTGGCGAACATGAAGATGGAGGAGCACCAGGAGCCCCCGGACACGGAGCTGATGGCTTGCAGCCGCTCGGTCAGCTGCAGCTGCCACAAGGCGCGGTACACCCCCAGGCCTCAGGTGGACTCCGGCGTGGCCGCCCGGGGGTTTGGGACAGCCATGAGGGCCCCCAGTTTTGGACGTCAGGGTAGACTGAACCAAGGGGTGGCCCAGTACCCCCAGAAAAGGAAAAAAGAAGGAAAAGACCTGGGGTGAAGTCTATCTTGAAATAGTCGAAAAGTGGAAGCCTGGTCCCAATGGGCGCCCCCAATAGGGGCGAAGAGCGACTAAGGCCTATTAGGGTCGAATAGAGTTCCTTTTTCAGGGGTCTTTGGGGGGGCCCCTGACAAGCATGGGATTTGTTTGGAATGCGCCGCAACGGCTTCCCGGTCTCCTTTGGGTGTTTTGTGTTTCCCGTTGTACGGATTGCTTTTGCTTTTTTAACCAAAAAGGGGTACCCTCCCAACAAACACCCCCATCTTTGTTCATGGCCACTAGAGCGCTATGGGGAGGGAACTGTGACCCCCCTTAAGGCCATGGGGGCCTCTCCTCCCGGGATAGCCATTCCCTACCCAGACTGGGGACTCATGTTGCTGCTAGGCTGGCACCCTCCAACGCAGCGCAGCGCGAATCTGCGAAAATTCCAAAGCACCGGCGCTTCGCTTCCACCCGAGCCGTGAAACAAGTGGCGAAGGAACCAAGTCGCGACCGCCCAATGGAACCAAAGTCATGCCATGGTGACCAAAGCTCCAATAAACATAAGCAAAAGCAATAGCAAACCAAGATGAGCACCAAGACTTGCTGCATTGAAGCAATCGCCTTGCAGAATGCCCCAAAACCGGGGTTCTGGGCGCTAGATTAATGGGGGCTGGAGAAAAAACAAAACATGACACATCCCCTGTTGCTTTTCCTTTGGCCGCAGCCAACAAAAAAAGAAAAACACGATTTACTGCGATTTCTTCAGCACACGTCTTGGGCGCGTCTTGTAACAACCGACTTCCTTCAGCGCCATGTGGCTGTAGGACAGCGCCCGGGACCCGCCCCCGCTGACGCACATGGCGCGCTCGGGCGAGCCGTGGGGGAACGCCGTCTTCGAGTTCACAGGGATCACATTGGCCAAGACCGTCTCGGTCGACGCCTCGGGTGAAGAGCAGGGCTGTGGGGAATGACATCTGTGATACGTTACAGAAAGGGCCTAGCCCCAAAGACGATTTTCTTCATAAGGGAGATTGCCTTGTGGCACAGAAGTGGTTGGAGAAACCCCTTGATCCCACAACCCTGGTGAAGAGCCAAGAGATTTAAAGGAAAACCTAAATGATGATAAGGATTCTGATGGCTTTTAGGTTTGGAGGGGAACCCAAGTGATGGCGCTCCGAGGCGCGGTTGGTTGTTTCAAGAGCCAAAGGAAAAACCTAAATGAGGGGAACGTAAAGTGGAACCGAAAGGCGTTCCGGTTTGAAATCAAGAGCCAAAGGGGAACCGAAATGATCTTCAAACAATTCTGGCTTGAACATGTAAGGAAAACCTAAATGATGTTAAAGCAACTCTGGCTTGAACATTTGAACCAGCTGCCCACCACCCTGCCTTCTGCCCCATGGCAAAACGTACCTCTGCCTCTCGGGGTCCACGATGCGGCCCGAGGCCGGAATCTTTTAAAACATCCGCACTCCCTGCGAACCCTTGGGCCACGGCGCGGGAGAGAGGCGAGGGGCCATGGAGTGAAAGCCGGAAACCTTCGCAGTCTTTCGCACGCAAATGGAATACCCGGCCAATTTGTTTCTAGGGTATGAATTGTCGACCCTCTGCTGAAAAAGGGATCGGTATTTACCATGGAAACCAAGGTGTTTCCCAAAAATAGCAACTAAAAAACGCGGGTATTTGGAGTAGGGGGAATATCCATGCTACCACCAGCGCAGCACGCATTCGAATACATCACAGGCATGACACGCGCATGAAGAATTCCGAACCGGGCCCCTGAGCCTGCAATGTCATGGCACACCTCAGGCCTCAGTCACGCTAGACAAGGCACAGGGCGTCGCAAGATCAATGCTCACCTACCGTCTTTCCATCTGCCGTCGTTTGCTATCCGGTTCCTCATGGCAGGCCACGGAAACCGCCTTGCAACGCCAGGAACGGCGCAAAAAGCTCAGTCCAGTCTGCCTCACTGCCGGAAGCTTCGGAATTGTCGTGGCCCAGCCCTAGGGCCAGGTCACCTTGTGGCAAACTGATCCCCGGCGTTTTCAGCTCCTTCCTCTTCCCACCCGGCCGCCGCAAAATCTTTTCTGGCAGGCTTCACCCCCCCCCCCCCCCCCACGTCCTCGGAAGCTCCCAGCCGGGCCCTGGGAGTCGGGCTCAAGAGGCGCATGGTCCAAACCGACCCTTTGGACCGCGAGAAATTCGGCCGGGGGGTTTGTGTCCCACCGCTTTTGACCGCTTTTCGGGGAGAGAGAAAAAGAAGAAGAAGAAAAAAAGAAAGAAAAAAAACGGCTTCCTGACATGGCAAACGCGCCGTAAGAAAGGCGAATGTGGCTTCCTGAGGTTGCACTGGTTTCCTTGTGGTTTCTCTTTTAAATCCCAACACCGAAAAGGTCGGAGGTCCGTTTTGAATGTGAAACGTCGCCAGAACCGGAATGGCACCGATCCGTTCCTCACGGCACTTGGTTGGGCTCCAGGCACCTTGCTTGAGCAAATGCTTGAGCTTCTGATGATGTGTTTTTGTTTTGCGCTTCCAACCATTGCCTGGGTAGGTGCCCGTGTTCTCCTGCTTTCCGGGCATGGCGCTATTTCATTGCCCTTGGGAGCAGGTGCCCGGGAGGTCCCCATCCCAAATCCGATTCTTTGCAAATACAGTTGTTTGCGAAGGATGGATCTTCTCACTCCCCCCCCCAACAAAAAAAGGAGAACGGGGAACGAGGGATCGAATTCCGCCCAGCGAATGCGCCCGTCCCGAATGCCAAGCCCCCAAGCCCCCGAGTTCGGGGCGTGAAGACCGGCACCTGGCATCCGGGGATCCGGGGAACATCGTGTGAAAGTCTCATTGGTTTGGAGCGCGGCTGGGAGCTTGGGCTGCTTCCATTCCCTTCACCCACGACGGCTTCTGTTCCCCACACCTCAGGGATGGATTGTGTTACGTCAGAAATTGGGACCCAGACCCGCAGGAGTCCCAAAATGGGAAAATTGGGCGCGGCAACAAAGGGGTGTCCAAATAGGGATTTGGACCCACCCACCCACCCACCCCAAAAACCAGCTTGTTGGCCACCAAGCCTGAAAAGTAGAAACCCTTCTGCCCTTGGAACTCCGCACTCTCGCACGAAACCCATCTTGCAGCTAGCGGCTTTTCACTGGGCTGCACGTATTTTTCCAAACGTAACTTGATTTTCTTTGCCGCATGGCGCAGACTCAACCCTGGTGTCAACACAGGGGCGTGTAAACTGCGGTACCTCGATTCTGCCGAACCTGTCGCGCGTATGCAGGGGAGTCCTCGGGCTGGCACAGACTCTCGCCGGGTCTACATTGAACCTGAATGCCAGCTGGCGAAGAACCGATAGGTACTACGACCAAAACGATTTTGTCATTGGAAAAAAGCTTTTGGTGAAGCAAGACATTCGAGGACCAAAGGAAGAAGCCAAAACACGCTTCACCTCTGGAAGGCTTTTGCGCTCCTGACATGTGTGGGCGCGTGTCCACGCCAGTTACACTAGGGCAAAATACCTGGCACATCACGGTTCACGGTTGGCACCGTCCCTGCAGAAAAAAGCCGAAGACTGCTGCATTTTAAACCCCCGAAACAAACGCGCCATCTTCCGGCGGGGGGGGGGGGGGGGCGTGCGCAGGGCATTATCACGCGACATCGCCAGCAGATGGCGCATCACTCCAATTCAGTGCCCTTGAGTGAGTGACACAAAAACAAAAGATGCAGCTATTGGAAATTTAGTCTCGGGCTCTTTGAATGATGTGTTTGAGTATGATGCCTCGGAGGCCCCTTGCATTTCACTTCCTTCAAGGCGCCTTGTTTCCGAGCCCCGTGCGTTTCCAAGTCTGCAGTGGATGGCGCATCACTCCAATTCGGGGCCGTTGAGTGAGTGACACAAAAGCAAAGTTGCAGCTATTGGAATTTTGGTATTGGGCTCCTAGAATGATGTGGAATCCTGAAACGACCCACCCGGGCAACGCAAATGCAAATCCGCGTGACATCCATCCAACCTGCGCGCTTCAAGCTCAAAAGATGAACCAAAAGAAAAGGAAGTACACTTTGATAGCAGTACACTTTGGCAGCTCCGGCTCGAGAGTCTCAACTTTTCAGTACAAGTGTAGTAAAGGAAATGCACTTTGGCATCTCCGGCTCGAAAATCGCAACTTTTCAGTACAAGCGTGGCAAAGAAAATGCACTTTGGCAGCTCCCGGCTCGAAAGTCGCAACTTTTCTGAATGCGCGCATGGAACGTCCAACTTGAAATCCGTTTTGACCCAAAGTAAATGGAGCACGCCTTTTCTGGAGCACCTGGAAAGGAGAACCTTAGCCATCTATTGAGGGAGTGGGCGGAAGGAAAAATATGGCACCTGCGCCATCTACTGAAGACTTGAAAATGTAAGGGACCTCGGAAGCAACACAAGGACATCTGAAAACAAGACACCTCCAAGGATTAACATTGGGACCTCGAAAGCATCAGACTCCAACACATTCAAGCAGACCCACACAGTTTAACTTGCCGCGACTTCTTGGCTTTGTGTCACACAACAGCCCGAATTGGAATGAGCCATCTTCTGAAGCATTGGGAACGCACAGGACCTCGGACGCTGCGCAAGGACATCTGAAAACAAATGCGAGGGACCTCGGCAGCATCGTACTCAAATACATCATTCAAATACGGTAGCCCAACACTAAAAGTAAAATCGCCGCGGTATTCTTTGTGTCACACAACGGGCCCGAGCGATTGGCCATCTACTGCAGAATTGGACATGCAAGGAGCTGTGCAAGCACATCTGGAAACAAGGCACCTTGAAGGATTGGACATGCACGGGACCTCCGAAGCATCGTGCTCGAATACGTAATTCAAATAGCCGAGGACTACATTTCAAATTGCCCCGTCTTTCTTGTTGCGCCACAAAACGGTTCCGAATTGGAAAGTAGTATGCGGGCGTGCCACGCGTCGCCCACGGAAGGTGGCGCATTTTTTTGAACAAGAAAAAACTGAATTTGACCTATTTAAAGTACATGGCGCATCACCACCGTGATGTGCCAGGTATTTTTCCCCTAGAGTAAACCTTCAATTCACTCGGTTGATGCGAGAACCGACTCCCAAGGACTAACGATTTCGAGACCTCACCAAAACCGGGAAGCCCAGTGACCCCCTGCCTGCGGGACCACCACCAAGTACAGTCGCCGCCCTGCCTGCAAGGAAACTCGCTCGCCAACGCGCAAGCCGAGAGTCATAGCTCAGCTTAGAGAAAAGCAGACACGACGTTCACGCGGCAGCAGATCCCTGATTCTGGGCTTGGATTGTTGGTTTGGAGGGTAGAGACTGTCGTCCCATTTGACTTCAAGAGAAACTGGGGCTTCGAGTTTCAGGCCACCAATTCACATGCCGTCCAAAAAAATGCCGAAACTCGCCTGGGTTTGTGTCCTGACGAGCTGATCAAACGACCCCAGGCCCATCGTCAAGCATCCCCCATCCAAGGGGTCAATCTCTCGGTGGCTATTTTGGGGCTGAGTTGTCACACGTGGTCCGAGTTTTTTGTGGCCATAGTCCCTCAGGAAGCTTTGCCATGGTTGTCAAAAGCCCCTCTTGAGAGGTTGATGACCATCCCAACCAACCCCATGTTGGGCTGCAAAAAAGTGCTTCTTACATCAACAATTTTGAGACGCCGTTCACCACCGCGTGCTCTCCCCGCCTCGTCCATGGATCGCCCATCGACGTGCCCGGGGACATTCCCGGGACATTAGGGAACGAAGTCGGCTCAAAACAAGCACCCTTGCAAGACGGCCTTGCCCGCACTCAGATATCTAGGGGTTGATTCCTTGTCCATTCGTTTCAACCATCCTTCTTTTCAAACACCGTGGGTTTTTAAGATGGTTGCCTGAAAAGGTGAAGAATGGGGAAGGTACCCCTAGAATATTGCCAGTGCACAACGCCAGCCGAACCACTCTCAAATCGCACCTTCTTGCCTGGGGAACCGCGGCAACGCGGAATTTCGCTGCGCGTGCGGAAGCCACGCGCACGAGCTCCAGCGCACCAGCGCTGGAGCCAAAAACCGGGGGTGTTTTTCAAGATCATTCGCGTGTCCCTTTCAAGGCCCCCAGTTCTCTGGGATTGCTTCCTTTGCCATGCTTTTCAACCATCGTTCTTCTCCAGAACCGATCGCTGCTTCCAACCTGAAGTTCTGATGGTTTTCTGGCAAAGAGATTCGGATCCCTGGAAAGAATGGGGACGTGGAGCCCAAACAGAGTCGCAGTTTTGCCAAAGCCGCCTATGTCTGCCGTGGTCAAAACCTCATGGGAAGCCTTGACATAAAAAGGCGTGGACCCGCAGCAACCCGAAGCAAATGCGGTCTTGTGTCACTTGCGTGTAGGGGAAGGGGCACCTTTGGATGATGGACGGACAGTCGGATGATCCCGGAAAGTATTTAACTCATCGGAATCCCAAAGGAATCTAACGCAACAAACCAACAGCCCAGCAGCCCAATCCAAGAGCAACACAACAACAC